AATTTATATCAAAAAATAAAAATTAATATTTAATTTATTAATTATTTAATTACATTTTTTTATTTCACATTAATATTAAAATTAAAATTAATTTTTTAAATATATTCCCGACAAAATATGCTGCCGTTAGCAAAGGTTATATTAATAATTTTAATACCAACTATGTATTGATTGGTTTGAGTAAAAAAGTTTTAAATAAAATTTTAAATTTAAATTTTATAAATAAAAAAATAAATTATAAAAAAAATTCCTCTAATAAAATCAGATACTACTCAATCTTACATTAATGAAGATTTTTAACGAATGCTGAGGGGTTAATAAAAAAATAATTTTAATAAGCAAAACCCACAAATTTCCACGTATTGGGCACAAGCACAATCCACAAAACGCCATTCCCATCCTGTCTTTTCTGCGGCATCCTCGAAGTCGCCCATCGTTTCGCCATCCTGTTGATCGAATCATAGGCCTATAACCCTGGAAAATGAAGGGTTTCTCTCTGTAATTATACAGTGGTCACTACAAGTTAAAGGAAAGCTTTGTACAGAATCAACGCTCTCGGAAGCACTGGACCTCTGGTTGTCTGCTTACAGCATTGACCTGTGAAGAAACCCAGAAGCCAAAACGCTGGGAAAATGCCGGGATTGACAGCTCCCTCTGATTATTCCCAAGAACCACCCCGTCATCCTGCCCTGAAAATCAATGCCAAGGCTAGTTTTTTTCTTCCCTTTTAGCATTTTGTTTCCTTGTTTATAATTGATGTCTATCAGTATGTGTGTTTCTAAAAGTAGAAATTTTTACTGGCTTAGAGATTTTGTTTCGATCTTTTTCATAGTGGGTATCTGTCTTTTTTACGTTAGGCTTCTAATTCCTTGGTAGTTTGAATTATTTTGGCTTCATTTGGATTGATGCTGTACAATTTTGTGATTTTTGGGACCTGATGATACCATTAACAACTTTATGAGAAGTATTAATGCAAGAAGTGGTTTACGAATCTTTCCAGCTAAAGAGGCTGTGGGATATGTAATTTAGTTTAGCTATTTGGACTGTTTTGTCTTGAGAGAATTTGAAATTTGACTAATGGGGCTTTTGTGCTTTAGAGTTTGCTTTTATATGTTCATCATTTGATGGACGCTTTCACTCTTACCTTGATCAGAGGGCATTTGTACTATGTTTTGTTTGCTCCTATTTCTAATAGTGCACTATAACAATTGTGCTTTGGTTATAGTCTATCGGCAGTCACACTTAGGTTATCTTCAGTTTGAGTTTTCTTTTGCAAACCGCAACATGATTCATTGTTTTCTTGCATGTGCTATTTCTTTTTCTCCTCTTCATGGGATTTATGCTATTAGTCCTTTTGGTGGCAAATTTTGTCGCAGGAGCCCTTCAATGCTGAGCCGCCACGTTCTGCTTTGACTGCATCTTACGTGACTCCTGTGGATTTCTTTTACAAAAGAAATCATGGACCCATCCCAATTGTTGATGACCTGGAGAGGTTATTTCCTTTCTCCTACTTCCATGTTATTCCTCATTTGAATTTTAATGCTTTGTCTTTCAGGAACTTTTCCTGACTTCAAATTGTATTTTTAAGTGCAGATATTATGTTGATATATGTGGTTTAATTGAAAATCCAAAAAAGCTGTATATGAGAGACATCTGGTGAGTGATGGAATGTTAAATTGCAACTAAAGTAGTCAGTTTGATGTCTTACCACTCTATAACACTTATTGTTATATTTCTTCAGTCTTCATTCCTTGAGTGAAAATTTCTGTTTTTTTACTGTATGATATTTGTGTATTTGTTGCTTGAGTGGAGGATTAATATGATATTATTATCAATTGACAGGATGCTGCCGAAATATAGTGTCACTGCAACCTTACAGGTATGGTTTCTTCTACTTCTGCTGCCAGTATATGTGGTGCCATACCTTCATAGTAACTTGTTGATTTTGGCTGGTGTGATTAGTGTGCAGGAAATAGAAGGACTGCCATGAGCAATACCAGAAAAGTGAGAGGTGTTGGCTGGGATGTTTCTGCTTTAGGAAATGGTTTGTTTTATCTATTAGTCTAATAGTCCTTGCCATGAATTTTAATTTGAGTGCTTGTGGGCATAATACATGCATTGATAAGTATGTGTGTGTATGCATGTGTACCGGTGTATGGCCTTTATGTATGTACATACACAAAAATATTCAGAATGTTACGGGACAGAAATGCACACACACATGTGACACGCATTTGCATTCTTATATGCTTCATGTGAAACTGCACATACACACTTAGACATGCACACTCCTACATGGTGGTTTTGGTAAGTTCCCTTTGGGCATGTTTCTATTAGATGCCTAGACAGTCTACAAATAGAAAGTTGGCACAATGTGATGGGATAAAACTTGAAATTCAATAAATTGCTTTGTTTGGTTTAACAGGTACTCACCATTTTTATGCTGCTAAACTATGGATATATTTGTTCTAAGTTGGAAAGGAGAAGTGAATAGACAGGCAGTGTTCGGATGCATGAGTATAGGTTTTACTGTTTGTTTAGGGTCCTTTGTTAATTCTCTCTCTGGGGTCTGTTTGTTGTCCATCTCTACCCATTACTTGTAGAATCCTTAAGTGCTTGTCCAATTGCACTAAATTTGTTCAATTATATTTGGTTTCATTTTCTTATCTTTTCAAACTCCTTCAGCTGTTTGGGCTGGAGCCAAATTAGCTGATGTTCTCGAACTTTTTGGAATACCAAAGTTCACAAGTACCACTCAGACAGGTGGAAAACATGTAGAGTTTGTGAGCATTGATAAATGTAAGGTAGAACACTGAGCCTCTTCAATTTCATTCTGAAACATTTCTACTGTTTGGTGACCCTTTGATTGCAAGATTTGGGAAATCTACTTTACGTACTCCTGTGAATTTTAAAAATAATGTAGGAGGAAAATGGAGGCCCATACAAGGCATCAATTCCACTTCGTCAGGCCACAAACCCAGAAGCTGACGTTTTACTTGCTTATGAGATGAATGGAGAGGTTAGTCTTGATTTTTTTTTTTTTTCCTTTCAATACTTGTTCCCTTCAATACTAAACTCATGATCTCATCCCATTATAGTGAGTTAACTTATATCTCATTTGAGAAATTAAAGTAATAACTTTTAAGCTAGCATCCTTCTAGTTCCTTTGTGCTGATGCTACAAAAATGCTTAATTTTTTCATTTTCTTCATTAATGATTTCTCATTTCTATTGTTCCCTCTCATTAAGAAACCATATTTTTTTTCCCAAGTCAGTTTCTTAAAAGTATGGTGAAGACTGAGGATGTTAATTAGCCAATTAGTGCACCATGTTGATTGCTTTGCCTTTTGGCAAAATGCATCATAACAACCAGGTTATTTACCTATTTGTAGAATGTAAATGTTTTACTAATGTTGACAAGTGAGGGAAGCTTTCATATTTCCTTTGTTTTTGCAATAGAAATTAAGGTTCTGGCATAAAATTTAACTCCTAGCTTTTGCTTTTTTGAGTGGATAAATTATAACTACAATGATTTTATTTTGTTAAACAAATATTTCTAATATTTCTGCATTTTTTTGTTTCCTTTCCTGTTCCCCCTTCAGGGGAGTTGAATGATTCTTGTGAGCATGTTCTTTTGATGAATCATGCTGATATGATCTACTTCCTTATGCTAAAGCCTCTTAACAGGGATCATGGTTACCCATTGCGAGTAGTTGTTCCTGGTGTCATAGGTGCTCGTTCTGTCAAATGGCTGGATTCTATCAACATAATTGCTGAAGAATGCCAGGTCAAAAATGGTTTCATATTTATTTTGAATTATTATACTGTAGTTTTCACCTTAGCAATTAATTGAATTTGGTTTACTGCATTATAGGGTTTCTTTATGCAAAGGGACTACAAGATGTTTCCACCATCAGTGGATTGGGATAATATCAATTGGGCTACCAGAAAGCCACAAATGGATTTCCCTGTTCAGGTATTTACAGGATTTGCTTTGTTTGTCAGAGCACATGTAACATTGGTAATGTAACATCTTTATTATAGATTTTTGGATTAACCTCTATAATGGTGAAGAGATATTTAACAGCTATGCTGTATTTACATAGGGTTACTGGGTTAAACATAGTGTGTATTTAGCCATTTTATGGAGTAGTTTTTTCTAGGAAACCAATGTAGGAATGCATTATTCACCTCACTAACCTGTTAGTTTACCTGTTGGCAGTCTGCAATTTGCTCTTTAGAAGACGTGCAGGCAATAAGGCCTGGAAAGGTTAGTTCTTTCTGCAATTACATATTTACTAGTTCCTTTTGCATTTTTATTTATCACCTGTTAGTTATAAAGTAGTGACTTCTCCATTTAAGAGTAGTAGTCTTTCAGTCAGCTTTCACATGGCATGCATGAGTTTAGAATTTTTATGGACTTTTCTTTGAAGTGATGCTTGATGGATTGTATCACATATTGGCTTCTGAGTTCTGAAATATTGTGTCTGATTTTCTATGTGCTCCAAACGATATTCAGTTTAGTAGCAATGATATCATGTTTTTTTTTTTCCTGCTGTGCGTGTTCTTAATCTTTTAGCTTTCTTTGATTCATAGTTTCTTTTGTGACATTTATTCCTTACATGAACAGATGGATTGTCTAATATTAAATCCAACTGTTTGAGATAGCCAGGAAAACTGAATTCTACTTAAATCACCTACGTTCTGTGCTGCTAAATGTTTCTCAGGTGAAGGTTAGTGGATATGCAGTTTCTGGAGGTGGCCGTGGAATTGAGAGGCTAGATGTGTCCATTGATGGTGGCAAAACCTGGATTGAAGCCACAAGATTCCAAAAACCTGGTGTCCCTTATGTAGCAGATGATATTGACAGTGACAAATGGGCATGGGTGCTTTTTGAGGCCATAGTTGATATCACAAATGGTACAGAGATTGTTGCCAAAGCGGTATGTTGCCTGTCATTTCAATTTTAAAAGATTTGCTAAGTATGATCCAATTTAGCATCCTTTAACCATCTGATCCACAGATTTGACACCCATAGAAAATCTCTTAGCAGTTTTGAAGCCTCCAACTTTTTAATCTTCTTAGTTTAAGAAATTTCCAAGGGTTAAAAACTTAAACTTTATTATATCTCTATATATGAAATTGGAACCTCGACTAATTTATTGCAAAAGCCCTTAAACACTCAAAAATCCTTGATCCAACCACTGAGAAGACTGTCTCGAGCTCAGTTGATCAAATTGTTTCATTATGACAAATTTACCTACCATTGCACTTCCATGTTTATTATTTGGTGTTTATGATGTATCTCATGCATTTTCAATTGATGGGCAGGTGGATACAGCAGCAAATGTTCAACCTGAAAAGGTGGAAGACATTTGGAACTTGAGGGGGATACTAAACACTTCATGGCACCGGGTTCAAGTTCGAGTGGGTCACTCAAATATGTAGATGAAACTTAAACAGTGGCTGAATGTCTTTAGAATTAAGTTGACACGTGGGAGGTTTCTGTTACCATGTGCTTTGGGCAAAAATAATCGACAAAACCATATGTTAAGCCCTTGAACTAATCTCTGATAATTAAGGTCTGGGGACTCAATAGCAAATCTGGAATAGTTCAGGGGCTTAACATATGGTTTTGCCAAGATAATATGCCTAACCTAATAATGTTGTTCAGTGAGAGCACTGTGGTCCCTTAGTGTTTGTCAACTTCATATGCCTGAATCTGGACATGCCAACAAAAGTTTTTAGGTTTTCCTTTAAAAACTAAATTAAGTTATGTGAGTGAATCATGAGCAGGCTCACCTTCGTGGGTGCTAATGTATTAAAAAAATCCACCATCATTTTAAGTTTTCTTATGGGTAGGGAATTGATTTATTTATGATTTTCATGGGTATTAGTTTGTATTATAAAAAATTAGATAGAAAATATCTTAAAATTATATCATTTTAATAAAACACAAAAAAAGACTAAATTAACCTCATCTTTGCCTTAAAAATTAGAATAATTTAATTTTCTTCAATAAAATTTTATTAAAACGATATAATGAAGAAAGTATTTTTACTTAATTTTTTATAATACAAGTTGATATTCATTTTTCATTTATTTATTGTCTGCCAAATCATTATTTTTCTCCTTTAAAGTTTCAACTAATCAACTTGCATTAAGTTCCCAAAGAATTTGAGCAGCTGAATCAACCAAACCAACACAATTCCATCCTGATCTGGAAAGCGTACCATTCATAAATTAATTTGTACTGTCTAACTACACTTTGGAAGGTTGGATTTGCACTTATAGCCAATAATTAATAAACCACATGAAGACCTCTTTGCACCTTCTATTTACCAATTTGTTTTTGCTTTATATATTATATATTTCTCTTTTGGTAGGTATACATGGACTTATTTTACAAGATTTATAAATATGCAATATTGTATTGGTATGCTACACAGACTTCGGTGGATTCTTAAATATTATCTGTCCCTTTCAAGTGCTAGCTTTTGGGCCTAAAATAAAAAAATTCATGAGCCAGTTAGTGTGTATTGTAATCAAAAGGGTTTTGCAATCATTCACATTCAATCACAATTGCCTCAATTTGTTTTTAAGTGCTTGCCTACTCATCTATTATATCCCTAAACCTTCCAATAAGAGTAATTCAATGACTTTTCCATGAATTTGTCAATTTTTTTAATGTTAATAGTAGGGACTTTGAAGATTACATAGATACGACTTTTTAACCTAAATTGTTCATGAGATGTATGCATATTGTCTTTTATACCTGATTCTAAACTATATGACGCTAACAATGACAAATCCAACATGAGACATTAATTTAGCTATTAAAAGTCGTGTTAAGATTAGATAAGTTTCAAAATGAATTTCTGTAACCCCATTAAACAATAATTATTATATTTGCCCCGGAATTGACCAAGACACTGATAATGGATGTAGTGCTTCGGGTGAAAGTGTTGCCTTCCGAAAAAGCACTTCTTAACATGGGTGAAATTCTTGTCTACCAAAAAAGCACATGCACATGCTGTGCTGTGATGATACCGTGATTGGGAAATGGAAGATAGTGAATTGTCAAGCTAGCTAGCCATGTAGCCAAAAAACAAACAAACGAAAAA